TGAGTAACCCAGAAGTAGATCCTCCACTAGCGTTCCTCCGGCGAATGTCTTCACCCAAAACACTATCCCGTATCCGATCAAACTTCAAGTTTCCTGTTCCAGCAGTTTCAGTAACCGTTGTCACAAATCCCGACCAACTATCAGGCAAGGAAGATAACAGAATCACAGCCTGAGTGTCATCATCGAACTTCATGCCTACTGATGACAACCTCGACAAGATCGAATTGACCTCATTAATGTGATCAGCAACTGGGCTGCCCTCGTTCATTCTCATCATGAACAATTCCCTCATCAAGAACACTCTATTACCGGCCGACGGTTTCTCATACATATTTGACAGAGCTGTTAACATACCACGAGCAGTTGTTTCCTTCATGATATTAAACGCCACACTCCTCGTCAAAGCTAGTGTAATTTTACCTCTTGCCTTTTTGTCCTTTGAGTCCCAAATTGCTTCAGCAGCCTTATCCATTCCATCCGGTTTCTCTTCCAGTACGATGTCCAAATCGCACTCACCAAGCAACGCCTCTATTTGCATTTTCCACCATGCAAAATCAGTACCGTTGAACTTCTCGATTCGAACCCTCCCGTCCTCGGCCATTGCAGAATGAGAGAAAAAAAATCAAAGAAAAAACCAAGAAATAACGGCTCGAAACCAAGCAACCTCCAAAAGAAAACAAACCCTAAATCAAAGAACCCGAAAAAACGAGTACCAGGTCCGAAACCAGAAACCCTAATCGCCAAGTTCACCCAAAACCGACTGAACAGCCCCTGACCAGATCCAAACTAGCCTCTAATCAGATCCGAACCATCCCCTTCAACAGCCTTCTTCCTGCGATTGATCCTGTGTAACCGTGTGTTTAACCAAACCAAGGCTCCGATACCACTTGTTAGGAATCAGAGATCAGAGGTGGTCAAGCAGAAGGGAACAAACACACACACACAAATAGCAGAAAATAAGAACACGAGATTTAACGTGGTTCGGTCAGTAACCTACTCCACGGGTTGCAACTAGGGTTTATCTTTTATTAGGTGCTCACAGATTATAGTTACATGATTGGGTTTTTATAAGATATAAACTAGGGTTAACAACTTTCTAAACAAGAAACAACTAATGGGCCTTTTAATTAATAACTAAAACCGGCCCCCCATATTTCTTCCCTTTAACCGACCGGGCTTAAAGCCCAAAGCTCTAAAGCCTTCACCGAATAACCCAACAGGTATTTCTACCAAAAAAACTTGTGTTTTTCTGGTTTGACATTGGTAACCCTTTTCATAGGCCTAGTCACAGAAATAAAAAAAGGCCCTTTGCACTCTTTTCTGCCCTTTCAGCAGCAGTTAGTATTATATATGTATGTATATTGATCGTAGTTATTCTTGGAGTATAAACCTTCCTAGTAAAGGATTAGTTTTATCCCTGAGTTGTCGTTCTCTAGAGGAGTGGACGAAGGGAATTAATTCAACTTCTCTAGTTAGACAAAAGTTTAGATTGGCTTATGAAGTCTTCTCGGTGCGATAATTAAAAAGAGAGAATAAAAAGAAAAGAAAATTTATTCACATAGTATAAGCAAAGGCTGGACCTAGGGCCTGGACATCATTTGGGTTAACTAAAATAAATTAAATTAATATTTGGAAAGATCGCATTTCTACTACCACTCATCTATTTCTAGATTCGTGATTACCCTAAACTGTTCTTGAATAAATCAGCCTTCCGGCGTAAAATATTTTCTCAATAAAAAGTTAATTAAATGTTTCCATATTAATTAGCTTGATAAGGCAAGAGCAGATTTTAGAATAAAAATTCCATCATTAATTTAGTTAAGAAAAGTAGAAACCCAAACTAGTCCGGACCCTTGGGGTCCGAACCCTAACTCATACTATGGAAATAATAAACTAGAATAATAGAATTAAATTAAAATAAAGTTTACTTTACCGTTTCCAAATAAGCAGAATAACAGCTCAGAGTCTTGAAAAGAGATCTGGGCGACAATGGCTCCAGAATTCTCTATAAAATAATCCTAAACTAATATTATTTAAGGGAATATTTCGAAATTGGGGTATAAACCCGAAAAAGGGTGCAGAAAAGCTGCTCTGGTATATCTTTTCGGAGAACAGGCGCGTGCCTTTTATAGATACGGACCCGGGGCGTCCAACCCCGGGCGTTTGTGCCAGGTGTCCAAGATCCGGACGCCTCGACAGGTTAGCCGCTCCGCGTCCGCCACGTGGCTTGCTTCGAGCGCACGTGTTATACCCCTGGATGGCTCCACCAAAATCCCAACCCTTCCCAACATATCCAAAAGTCTTTTATCTTTTCTTTGTCCCAAAATAAAGCCTTTGCCATCTATTTTATTCCCTGGTTAATAATAAGAAACCAAAACCTTTTGTTTGTTGTTATTTTCCTTCTTTTAATAAACAAATAAAAACCTTTTCTCCCTCCCTTTGAATCCCTGGCCAAATATCCCTCTGAATCCCAACACAACACCCACAAAGAGCCAAAACCATGACCCACCTTCAGCCCCTACTTCCTACCCATGTTTTTCCCTTACAATAACCCAAACCCATAAGTCCAAAAATCACATTATTCCCTTCCCCTCTTCCCTTCACTCTTGGCCAAGAATCCCTGCCCACAATCCATGTCACAGCCCCCACAATTGTTCCCCATTATACTCTCCATTATGTGTAAGGAAACAAGCTGCAAACAAACAAAACATAATGGCCCCACCTTGGCAGCCACCCAACTCACCTTTGCTCCCTATAAACTACCTATTACATCCCTCCAAAATAGCCAACCCACTCACCCCTTGTACCCCCTGCCTGGCCGAATCAACCCACCCAATACCCTCCAAAATGGCAGCCCACTCCACCAGAACTTGCCAACAATAATAACCCAACAACAGCCCCACAAACCAGCCCCCATCTCTGATTTCTTTCCATTAAGGAGACAAGAATAAATGGGTATTATCACATGTGTTTGAAATAGTTGCTTCTAGGAAGCTTCCTTATGTCTACATTCAATGTATTATGTATCTCCCCCTTCCCCTCTACCTATATAATCAAGCCATATGGCCATTGTAAAGAACACCTCTGAATATTGAAAAAAACCTTTTACTCTTTGAGTATTATTAAAATAGTGTGATGCTATTTTAGCCAAATTCATAATTCTATATCTTAAGAGTGGTTATCTTAAGTGTGAGTTTTAGGTTCTAGATATTTGATTAAGTGTGTCATATCTTAATTAAATTCTAGATTCAAACCCCAAGTTAGGATAAGAGTGTGTAATATCTCTTAAACACCAACTTGGTTTATCCATCATTATTTTCTATCCATTCCTTTTCCCACCATTTCTATCCTTAATCTCCTTTCTTTCCTTATATTAAAAATACCAAAAGAATTCCTTCATCATCTCCATATATTTCCAGTCCATTCCCCCACAAAAACACCCTTCTTCCTGCCCAGAATTCTGCCAAATAATCGATTATCATTCCCCACAATCGATTATCAGTTCCCTTGGAAACACCTGCAGGGATCAATAATCGATTATCCTTTCCAGATAATCGACTATCACTCTTTCCCTAAAATCTGCAGCCTTCAATAGTCGATTGTCACTTCGTGTAAATCGATTATCTCCTGCTCCAGAACCCTGAACTCAAAGCTGAATCATTTCTTGATTCCTCCTCAAAATAGCAACTCGTTTAGACCCCCGATTCGGGCCTAACAGCACGTTGGCCCGGCCGTCCATAAATCAGGGCGTCCAGGTCTCCGGGCGTCCGACCTGGGCGCCTCGACTTCTGTTCCTTTCGGCGCAAGCACGAGGTCACGCGACCTAGGCGAGATTTTGGGCCCAATTCGTCCCTTTTTGGCCCGGGATGCTCATTTTGACCTTGTAAGGGTCCGTTCTCGACCCGGAGTTGACTATTTTACCTTTTTCTCATATATTTAATCATAAAAAGGATGATTTGCACTAATTTTCCTCAAGAACTCTTTTTTATGACTTTTTGTTGTACCCGAGACCCGGGGTCTTATCGAGTAATCAATTTGATGGCGGGTTTACAGAGGAAATGGATGCAAGAAGGAAGCAACTTTGAATTCCTAAGTTCAGAAGCTTGTGATAGTCGATTATCATTAACTGATAATCGATTAACAAGATATGATTTCCAAACCACAAATGTTCAGAGATGCCCGATAGTCGATTATCACTTTTATGATAATCGATTGTTGGAAATGGCTGGGTAAAATATGGAGGTGATGAAGGAGTTCTTTTTGGTATTTTGATTTATGAAGATAGAATAGAATGTGGCTTAGGAAGAGAAAATGGAGAGGAACGAAATGGGTAGAAAACAAGGATGGATAAACCAAATAATGAATAAGAGATAAACACACTCTTACTATATTTGGGGCTGTTATCTATTTCACACAATAATAATCACTACTAATGTATAAAATAGACTCCTAACACACACTCAAAAGTAGCCAACTTTAGAGATATTTCATTAGGAAATTTTGCTAAAATAGCATCACACTATTTTAAAGGAATTACTCAAAGAGTAACACAGGTTTTTATTTCATTCAAGGTTGTCTTTACAATGACCATATGGCAGGAATATATATAGGCTAAAAAGGAATACACTTAGCTAATAATACATATAACAAAACAAAACTAAAAGTAAGAGGAAGTTTCCTTATTTCTCATGCCATTTGCTCCCATTTTATCTTGGTGTGAAAAGTTCTTCATGGCTGATCTCCTTTGGATTTAAAAGACCAATAATCCTTGTCCTTTTTAGGTAGAAATTTCGTGGCTTTATGAAGATAACAAAGGGAAATCAAGCTTTTGCTTTTTGTGATGGAAATGCCAAAACAGCACTATTCATTCAATGACTTTTGTTTGTGATTTTTGTTCCTTTGTATCAAAAGTGATATGCTTTTGTTTTATGAAAGAAAAGGCTTTATTCTTTGTTGAAAATCAGGGAATAACTTCAGCCTTATACCCAAGCTTAGGAAAGGAAAATAAGACTTGACAAACTTTGGGACTTCAAGGTTCAGAGATGTACGATAGCCGATTATCACTCTTTGATAATCGATTAACTATATATGATTTCCAAACCAAGAATGTTCAGAGACGCCCATTAGTCGACTGTCACGCAAGGATAATCGATTAACAAGACTGGCGCAAAATCGGGTATTTTCAGAGGATGGCGATAATCGATTAATGGCTTTGAAATAATCGACTGTGAAGGTTGCTGGTTTTGTAACGAGGAGTTAGAAGGATAGAATAATCGATTATTAGTTGTGTATAATCGATTATGCAGTCTTTCAGGATTGGAAGAGAAAGAAGGAAAGGCAATTATTTGGGTAAAAGGATTTGAAAAGAAACAAACAAAGGTTTTAAAAGATATCAAGAAACTAAGGTTTGACTTGTCTTCCTTTGATCTCATTTTGACCTGGAGTTAAAAATTGATGGGAAAGACTTTATTTTGAATTAAAGAAAAGAAAGAAGACTTTTTGGATATGTTGGGGAGTTGGGATTTTGGTGGAGCCATCCAGGGGTACATCACTTTTAGAACAAATTAAAGTATTTTATTCATGAGATGCACTATTTATGAAATGATTAAACATTATTTACGTGCAATAACGCTAAAATATGATAAAAATGATAAGAATGAAACAAACTTATCATATATATAGATACATACATACATAGATACATACATACATACATACATACATACATACATACATACATATATATATATATATATACATATATATATATATATATATATATATTAATTTTTTTTAAAATAATGAACGGTCAGTTACAAGCAGGGGGCCCGAGGCCCGTTAACCTCGTGACTGCCCCGGGGCCCGTTAACACCCGAGGTAGATAGCCCACTATAGAAAGCCCAAAGTAAGCCCAATCTAAAGCCCAGCCCCATAAGCCCAAATCTACTTCCCAGGGGTCACCCATCATTTTTGCTACTCCCATGCCAGCACGCTTAACTCTTTAAAATTCCTCCAAATTTGCATCATCTGGGGATCGAACCCGGGTGGTGTGATTCGCCAATAGGGGTGAGCAAATTAACCGGACCGACCGTGAAACCGAAAGCCGAAGTAACCGCTAAATCGGTTTTGGTTTTCCATGAGAAAAAGTTCGGTTATTTCGGGTACTTCGGTTTTGTGTCGGTTTTGGTTATCGGTTTATTCGGTTAACCGAATAACCGATATATGTGTTTTGTTTGGGTAAACCGAAGTCTACTAGTTATTAATATGAATTTTTTAAAGCCCAATAGCATGGCAGCCCACTTCATTATCCAAAAATGGGAATTGTGTGATCAGCCCACTTCATTATCCCTAGGGAAACCCTTGATGGTCGCCATTGTCTGCATCCATGCTGCATTTCGAGAATCAGAAGATCTCGTTGTCGATGAGCAAGAGACCCCCGTCATGTGGTTCCACTCCTTCTTGAAGGCCGATCCCTGTTCCCAGCGTTGCCCCTCAGCCTCGGACTTGAGCGGCGGGTCTGTGATCTGGAAATCACAGCGGCGTTGGAAGAAATTTTTCGGCCGTTCATATCAAAATGAGGAAATTTACAATTTTGCCTGGAGGGGAATTACTCATTTAGTGGTTGAGAAAACAATTTATTTCATTGTTTTAGAACAATAATTGGATTCTGCTGAAATTGGAAGTCCCAGTGCTTCTCGTGATGGTTCCGGCCATGGTACATGTTTAACTATTTTTTTTATTTTTTGTATGGGTGCTATGGAAATCGGTTATTAACAACCGACCGAAACCATTCGGTTTAATCGGTTTCGGTTTTCTCGGTTATCAAAATACACCGGTTCAGTTTTGGTCGGTTTTTTTGCATCTAAAAAAATTTCGGTTAGTTCGGTTTTGACCCGAAACCGACCAAACTGACCCGATGCTCACCCCTATTCGCCTATCAATCCCGTGACCATCTCCACACACACACACACACACACACATACATACATACATACATATACATACATACATACATATATATATATACATATATATATATGGTTCACGTGAGAATGCACCTTGGTGAAAGAAATAAGAATAAAATCTAGCCTTTGGATCTGATGCATCGTGCGGCTCAGATTGCATCTTGCGCTCAGATTTTGAGATAGTGCATTTTCAAAGGATTTTGGTGCATTTTGACAGGACGGATTTTCAAACCATTTTGGTGCACCTAATTTTGATGTAATTCTGACCCTTAGATCTCACAATCTAAAGCACCAGATTCATTCTTATTTCTTTCATAAGATCGCATTCTCACCAGAACCAAAATCTATATACATACATACACACACACACAGATATATATATATATATATATATATATATATTAAAAACAAACTTTTATTGATAAAACGAAAGAAAGGAACATACAAAAGCCAAGGGTGAAAGCTCTAGGTAGCTTTAGCCCGGTTGATACAATACAAACCAAAACTAGTAACAAGATTTAAATAAAGAGTAGTTGTATCTTCATTGTTTGCCCAACACCAGGTTTGTAAGGTCCTGTTAATTTGACAACGAACACTGCTTTGATAGAAAGGTTTTCCACTTTTCCATCATGAATGCACTTGTTATAGGCCTTCCAGAAATGCCATATTAACATGCCATGCAGGATCACTCTGAGCTTCCCTTTAAGACAGCTTTGGTTCGAATTAATCCACCAGTTAAGCAAGTGTTGTCTGAGGTTGTGAGGTGGTCGTCTAGCTGGTCCATTGTTGATGAAAGCATAGTCTTGCCAAATTTCATGAAGCTTATGACAGTGGAGTAAACAATGATCCAGAGTGGCAATGTTTCCTTGGCAAAAAGGGCAAGGGGAGGGAGAGATATTCATTTTCATCAATTGTTCATGGAATGGAAGAAGACCATTGAAGGCTCTCCAAGTGAAAAACTGAATTTTCCTGATTTGCCACTTGCTCCAAATGAAAGAGCATGACATGAGCGTGGAACCCTTTGCAGTGCATGCTCTATAGGCCTCCTTGAAAGAAAAGCTTCCTCTAAGCCACGTGTTTACACCATTTGAGCTGTTGGTGTGAAGGAGACCCCTGCTGGCAGCTTTGCAGATTCTTTTCCATGAATAAGAGTCATAAATCTTGGCTCTGAAATCTCCATTTCTCAAATACTTCTGTCTTATGTAGTTACTCCAGATAATACCTCCTTGTTGTACTTTCCACCACAATTGAAGTGCAGCAGTTGCCTGAAGATCCTCAATGCTCCTGAATCCAAGACCTCCTTCCTCCAGGGAGTAACAAAGGTCTGCCCATTTCTTCCAGTGGTGTTTGTTCTTTGTCTCCCTACTTTCCCATAAGAAATTTGCCATGATTTTGTTGAGACTGGTGATGACAGATTTGGGAAGATCCTGGACCAGGAGTGTATGCATAGGAATAGCTGAGAGCACATGCTTGATAAGGACATATCTACCCATTTGGTTGAGTCTTTTGCTGTGCCAGGGAAGAATTTTCCTTTCAAAGTGTAGCATCAAATCAGTGCAGTCTTTCTTTCTAAGCTTCCCTTTGTCAATATAGGATCCCAAGTATTTAAAACTGCCAGAGGATGTTTTAATGTTTAGAATACTGGAAATGAGGGATCTTCTGCCTCTAGACAACTTTGGATGAACAATGATCTGGGATTTGGAGAGATTAATACTCTGACCAGAGGCTTTCATGAAGGTTGAAAGGATATGTTGGACCTTGAAAAGATTTCTACTTTCACCATTAGTAAAAATAATCAAGTCATCTGCATACAAAAGATGAGAGGGAGCACTAATAAGACCTGTGTGGAAGGGTTTGAGAATTCCCATATTCATTTGATGTTTTATGTCCTTGTTGAGACCCTCCATAGCAATAATGAAAAGCAAAGGAGAAAGGGGATCTCCTTGCTTTACTCCAGATTTCATTGGGAAAAACCCCCTGGGAAGCCCATTCACAAGTATGGAGAACCAGGTGCCTTTGAGAACACCCATAAGCAGAAGAAGACTATGCCTGGAGAAACCAAACTTAGAGAGAATGGCTTCCAGAAACTCCCAGCTGAGGGTATCAAAAGCTTTGCAGAGATCTAATTTAATAATGATATTACTCCCTCTATAACCAGAGGCTAACATGTGAACCATCTCCTTAGTAAGCAAAATATGTTCTTCAATACCCTTACCTGTTTGATAGGCTGCCTGCTCTTCAGAAATGAGTTTATGAAGTAAGGGTTTGAGTCTGTCACTCAAGATCCTGGTAATGATCTTGCTAAAGAATGTAGAGAGAGATATTGGCCTATAGTCTCACCAAAGCTATTGCAGGTGTCCTTCTTAGGGAGGAGTGTGATGGTGGTACTGCCAAAAGCTTGTGGGATGGGGACTCCAATGAAATATTCTTGGACATCTTTGGTAACATGGAGATGAATGATGCTCCAACAATGCCTGAAGAAAGTTCCATTGAAGCCATCAGGACCTGCTGCACTGGATGCAGACAGCTTCCAAATGGATGATTTTATCTCCTCTACATTAGGGATCTTGGTCAGAGATAGGTTATCTTCCATATTAATAGTGGTAGGGATGTGTTCAAGGGCCTGATCCAACTGTCCAACTGTTATATACTTGAAGATACTAGTGAAATAGTCCACAGCAGCATTGGAGATGTCAACCTCAGAAGTGAGGTTAACACCTTGCACATTCTTGACACTATTAATTTTAAGGGAGTGTCTTTTAGCCCTAACAACTGAATGAAAGTATTTGGTAGATGCATCACCATTTTTAAGCCATTTAATGTTAGCTTTTTGTGCCCAATAAATCTCTTCTCTTTTACAAGCTTGAGTAAGAAGAGCATTAGCCAAGTTGGCTTCCAAAAGAGCCACCTCACTGTCTTCTTGCTCCAGTTTTTCCTGAGCAAGTATTGCTCTAGTTTCTGCATCTCTAACTCCCTTAAAGATGTCTCCAAAAATTTCCACATTGCATTTCTTCAAGATCTTCTTAATGGACAAGAGTCTGTCAGCTAGTTCTTTCATCCCCCCTCCTCTATATATTGGATCCCAGTTATCAGAAATCACTTTATTGAAGCCCGGATGAGATGTCCAAACATCCAAGAACCTGAAAGGCTTAGGGCAGGACACTAGAGGGTTATTTAGAAGCACCAAGAGAGCTTTATGATCTGAAAAGCACCAAGAGAGCTTTATGATCTGAGAGTCCTCTTCCTTTGTGCCTGACAGAAACCCCACTGAATAAATAAAAAAGTTTCTCATTGATAAGAACTCTATCAAGTCTTCTGAAAACTCTACCTTTTGATCTATTACCAAACCAAGTAAAGGTTCCCCCAGAGTATGGTGGAGAGGATAACTCACAAGAGTCAATAGCTTCGTTGAAGTCATCCATACTAAGATGGCACGGAGTGCTTTTACCTTTGTGCTCATTATAAAAGGTGATCGCATTAAAATCCCCTCCCACCAGCCAAGGAGTTTCAATGTTTTTGTGATCCTTTAGAGACTCCCAAAGGTCAAGTCTTTCGAACCTAGAATGTCTACCATAAACTGAAGAAATCCAGATCAGTTTTTGAGTAGGCACATGAAGGAAAAGACAAGAGGTGACTTGTGGTTCTTCCTTAAGGGCTTGAAGTATAAGAATGGAATCATCCCAAAAGAACCAAAGTTTGTTGTTGAGAGAACTGAAACATTTGGAATAACCAAGAGTAGTAGCACATTCAAAGATAAGGGAGGAGTTATGAAGAGGCTCCAGAAGAGAAATAAACAAAAGCTTGTGATCTTTTTTGAGAGAAAGAAGCCTAGGAAGAGAAGAATATACTCCTCGAATATTTCAGAAGAGACCATTCATGGAGACATCAGGGGGGCAAATTGTTGGATGACATTTTTCTAGTGACCATTGCATGTGTGCGTGCTTTAGAAGAGGATTTGGGAAGTGGACTATCCAGGATATCGCCTCCTCCCCTAGGAGTATTAGGGATTGAGAGCTCCTCCAGGAAATTCTCCTCACAATCACTATCATCCACACAATCGCCATCAGAGAATCTGCATGTTTCTCCACCAAAGTCATGTTGAGAGGGGGGAAGCCCATGATCATCACGAAAGCCCATGAAAGGAACCAGTGATCTTTCTTCATTAATGGGAATTTCCTCAAACTAGTATCATGCAAATTCACGTGGGAGTGAGAACCCCCGGATTGAGATGATTCACCTTGGCCATCTTTCCAGTTGGACGTATCTTTTTGTTCCTCCATTAGATTAGGGTTTTTCACCCGCCAAAGCCTGCCTTTTTTGGACTTATGTTTTTTGGAGTGGACTGTATGCCAAGTATCCACCTTCACAGTAGGCTCACCGGATATATATAGATATACATATACATATACATATACATATACATATACATATACATACATATATATATATATATACATATACATATACATACATACATACATACATACATAGATATATATATATATATATATATATATATATATATATATATATATATATATATATATATATATATATATATATATATATATATATATATATATATATATATATATATATATATATATATATATATATATATATATATATATATATATATATATATATATATATATATATATATATATATATATATATATATATGGGACTCGATTGACATCTTTCGGTCAGATGACATGCTTCAGAATGAGCACCACCTTGTTTGAGAATGAGCACCACCTTATTTCAGAATGAACACTACAGTGTGCAGATTGTGAATGAGTACTAGGTTGTTTCAGAATGAGTACTACGTTTATAATAAACAAATGTGTGAAAATCAACCTTACGATGCCTTAGAATGAACACTACGTGGATTCAAAATGAACCCTATGTTGTCGTCTCGCTGGCTTGGAATGAACACTACATTGTGATGAACAATTGTGTGAGAATGAATGCTACGTTGTTTAAGAATGTGCCATACGTTGTCATCTGACCGAAAGTTTCATCTGACCGAAACATGTCATCTGACTGGAGTCAATCCCTATATATATATATATATGGATTGACTCCAGTGAGATGACACCTTACGGTGAGATGACATGCTTCCGTCAGATGACGTAAAGCTCACCACACTACACTAGAAAGCTCACCAATGAACAATGCAAAGCTCACCTGGAAATAAAGCAAAGCTCACCACTTTGAACACCAAAACTCACTTTTTTTTAAATTTTGAAAATTAAAAAAATTATAAATAAAAAAAATAGCAACACCGATCAACCACCGGTCAACGCGGCGGCGGCGGACGGAGTCTGGCGGCGGTGACCGGCGGTGGCTGCCGGATTGAGAATGCACCTTGGTGAAAGAAATAAGAATAAAATCTAGCCTTTGGATCTGATGCATCGTGCGGCTCAGATTGCATCATGCACTTAGATTTTGAGATAATGCATTTTCAAGGGATTTTGCTGCATTTCGACATGATGCATTTTCAAACCATTTTGGTGCACCTTGTTTTGATGCAATCCTGACCCTTAGATCTCACAATCTAAAGCACCAGATTCGTTCTTATTTCTTTCATAAGATTGCATTCTCACCTGAACCAATATATATATATATATATATATATATATATATATATATATATAGGGGCCGGCTCAGGTGAGAATGCACCTTGGTGAAAGAAATAAGAATAAAATCTAGCCTTTAGATCTGATGCATCGTGCGGCTCAGATTGCATCCTGACCCTTAGATCTCACAATCTAATGCACCAGATTCATTCTTATTTCTTTGATCGCATTCTCACCTGAACCAATATATATATATATATATATATATATATATATATCGTCCATCCCCCTACATATTCTTGCCGTGCACTCCCTCCCGGTGGCAGTCATCAATCTTCTTCATACTAGGATGGCCAATTTCTTTTGGGGAAGAAGGCACGGCAACCAACTAGACCACTGGAAGAGCTGGAAACATCTCTGGCAACCCTCAAGCGCTGGTGGGCTGGATATTAAGGATCTTCAAACACTTCAACAGAACCAATCGATCAACCTTTGGTGGCGGGTGAATCATGATACGGGTGTCTGGGCTAACACCATGCGAGCCATTTACATGCGCAAGGGCACAATCAAAGAGAAGCTCACTGATTCCACGCCATGGAAGAGAATTTGCCGGGTTCACTCCTTCGCTGTCACTCACATTAATGATTCCGTGCAACCTCCACTTTGGAATGGGAAACCGTTCTCCTCCAAGAATACCCTCCTTTCTCTTTATGGCGTACTACCTTCCCGGCTTTCGTGCAAGTACATATGGCATAAAGCCCAGACTCCTAAACTCCGAGTCTTCCAATGGAAAGCGTTCATGAACTGCCTACCCTTCCCTGAATTAACCAAGCGCTCCAGCTCGTGTCTCCCCAGCCAATGTCCGCTATGCAAGCAAGCAGAAGATTCCTTAGACCATACTCTCGGAAATTGTAAGTTTGGTTACCAGGTCTGGAAGTATTTTGGCACTCTCATCGATGCTCCCATGTCAGCGCCCAACCTCAAACTTAACCAAATTTTCATCTGTTGGTGGTTCTCCGGTGATACTTTCTCCTTCAAAGGCATTCTGCGAGTCATTATGCCCGGTGTCATCGCTTGGCACCTCTGGAAGGCAAGGAACTTAGCAATTCATGAAGGCCAAATCCACACCACGGAGGGTATCATCCAACAGTGTTTTAAACATATTCAAGCATGGTGTTGGGCTTCACGACGCAAAAAATCGCTAATCCACGATAACACCTTTAGGGGTTGGAATTTAGATTTATTTGGATTAATGGTAGCAAGCTTTTGAAAGTGGTGTAGTTAGGCCTTCTCTTTCTCTTTCTTGTATTTCCTCCTTTTTTTTTCTCAGTTTAATATATATATATATATATATATATATATATATATATATATATATATATATATATATATATATATATATATATATATATATATATATATATAT